TTCCAGCGATGTCCACAATGTACCAACAAGGTCACATGATGTTTCAAATAGGTCCCATATGTATAATGTACAAAATTGTACACAATGTTCCAACAAATTCTAAGGTATTCCAAAAATGTTTACATGTGCAAACACAGTCACACAATGTTGGAACAATGTACAAAGCCCAACAAATACCAATAGGTCCAAAACTTTCCAACTAAGTCCTGTATTTAGGGCATCGAAGTGTTTCAACAAGGACCAAAAATGCACTTGTACCGATAAGGTCCACCAATTTACCGGCCTGATCCAACAATGTACCGACACGGCCCAACAATGTACTGGCTTGGTCCAACAATGTACTAGCCTGGTCCAACAATGTACCAGCAAGGTACCGACACGGCCCAACAATGTACTGGCTTGGTCCAACAATGTACCAACAAGGCCCAACAATGTACTTGCCTGGTCCAACAGTGTATCGACAAGGCCCATCAAAGTACCGAAAAGGCCCAAAAATGTAATGGCATGGTCCACCAATGTACCAACACGGCCAAACAATGTACCAACACGGCCAAACAATGTACCAACACGACCAAACAATGTACTGGCTTGGTCATACAATGTACCGACAAGGCCAAATAGTGTACCGACAAAGCCCATCAAAGTACCAAAGAGACCCAACAGCGTACTGGCTTGGTCCAACAATGTACTGGCTTGGTCCAACAATGTACCGACAAGGTCCAACATTATACTGGCTTGGTCCAACAATGTACCGACAAGGCCAAATAGTGTACCGACAAAGCCTATCAAAATACCAAAACTACCCAACAATGTACTGGCTTCGTCCAACAATGTACCGACAAGGTCCAACAATGTACTGGCTTGGTTCAACAATGTACCAAAAAGCCCAACAATGTACCGGTCTGGTCAAATAATGACCCGACAAGGCCCAACAATGTATCGACATGTTCCGACAATGAGCCGACAAGGTCAAACAATGTACCGACTAGGTCCAAACAATGTACAACAAGACCAAACGATGTAGCATTGTTGTCCATCGGACAAGGTCAGGTCACGGACTATACCAATAATACCATCGATCTGAGTGACACCATGCGAAATAGCACTCAGGTTGATGCTTTTTGAGTATAAAAAGTCTATTTTCATTACAAGCGAAGCATGGTTGAATTATTGATAATCAGGGTGGCATAGCTGTATTGTGTCATCAGTAGATACTGTATTGGCAGTAGTGTTCTATAGGAGTATTGAACTACTTGTCAATAACCAATACTCGTGGTTCTTAGGGACTTGGGCGCAAATCTATATAACAAACCTTTCGAGTGTCATATCGTGACTGCTATGTTTCTTAAATATATAGATAAATTAACTAAATAACCTGATTTTGTATCCATGTTTATGTATGTACCTTCTAAGTATAGTCTAGATAATTTCATTCTTTTTTTCTCCCAATATTTTATTGGTATGATTTAGTAACATTTAAACCCATCGAGGAGCGTTCTAGCGACAACTGCGTGTATGACCAGAAGTAGTACCGTGGTCGGCATTTTTTGTGTAATTAAGTACATGTGCCGAAGTTTCTTGTTATACCGTGTACATTGTATATTTGATATCTGAAATAGAATTTCGTCATTTTATTTAACTTTTATTACAATTAAGCATAATTGAATCGAGTGACCCATGATAAGAGGTTCGTTTGAACCTCTGTATGGTTTATACACGGACTGCCTTGTATGTGTGTACAGGTATATACCACGTTTGTAAATATTGACCTGTTGGCTTCTATGTTTACATATATAGCTGTACTGTTTGACCAATCCGGTACATTTATTCATAAGTTTGCCATTTGAAACACGACCCAACCTTATCAGGTATTGCTTACAGACTGAATGCATGTTAGACAGCATTGTTTTGTCCTAGAGGCATGCTTCTGTACAGTGTTTGAACGTCAATCCCCCCCTCCCCCCTCCCCCCTCCCTCAGAAAAAAAGTCATGTTCAACCGTGTTTTTTCTTTTTGTAATCATGTAGATAACATTGTAATAAGAAAGTCACATTGGAAGTTTCTTTTTAATCTTTGACCGATCAAATGAGCCCCCAGGCTTTCTATTACACCGCTCGGGGCATTTATCGTCCGAGATAACGGCAAGTCGTGTTAGCCCGAGGCTTAGCAATACACATTCAATTTAGTAACCTGGATATAAAGGCACAAATCAGGTCGTAATATAATGTCGCCGGTCGTGTTCATCCAATAGTGAACCACAAGCCAATTCAAAGTATAACAAGCATGGTCGTGTTCATTATAAAATGAACTACATACCTACTCAAAAGTATTACAAACATGGTCGTGTTCATCCTATAGTGAACTACAAGCCTACTCAAAAGTAAAACAAGCATGGCCGTGTTCATTATATAGTGAACTACAAACCTACTCAAATGTATAACAAACATGGCCGTGTTCATTCTATAGTGAACCACAGGCAAACTCAAAAGTATAAAAAAAATTGTACGTACAAGGTAAGATCTGCCTTGCTGAACAAAGTATAAGAACATGGTCAGGTTCATTTTGCTGAACTATAAATTTACCAACTGATTGTACAATGTCCATGGTCAGGTCGGGTGCAATCCAGTCAACTACTTATTTATTGCATGTTTAAATCAGCTACATTTCTGGGGACATACATGAAATGATTGTCGAAGAAATTGAATTTGGTGGTAAGAATCTATGGGTTATTGTCAAATTCTGATATTTAGTTTAGTGTATATTACTAAAGTATACACCAAGTTGAAAATGAAAGATTAAGCAAGTTGTATCAAAATGTTCTCAAATAATCTGCATGTTTGAATGTGAACGTGATGGTGTGGCGTTAATGTACACATGACGTAATGTGGCCTTGAGAAGACTGAACAAATTGAGTACCTAACGAACCCTCAGACTGTCGTCTGATCTCGGAACAGGGACGCACTTGTCCTGTGTACGCCGGGGTGGCACGCGGGCGACCTCGCCTCGCTCTTTCTTCACCTTGAGGACACTGCACTGTTTCTAAAATCGTGTTTCTCGTTATACACAATGATAAAGCTCTAGTAGCAATAATCCCGGCCCCTGGACTTTAGCTGAACACTATGCTTTACAAGTTTCCAGCTTGCTATAGATTCCGTTCAGGTATCACGTCCACAGTGATAAATAAAACAGCAATGTTTGAACAAGTCAAGTGGGCTATCTATCAAACTTGAGAACGCCATGCTTCCTAGCGCTCCATACAGCGATACAACAAGCCAATAAAGTTTTGTAACTAAGTCATTTGTTTGTCGACTCTCGGACTTGTTCTACATGTAAAGTAGTTGCTTTTTCAGAGACCACGATGGTTGTACCATGCGAACAGGTGTGTCTAACAAACATGTAAATACAGGAAGTGAACGAACTGAATTGAACTGCGTTTTGTAAACTATACCATATTTCAATAACATTTGAAAAAAGTATAAGTGAAGTGTTTACAATAGACGAAAAGGTCCGGGAATTACCCCTTATTGGTAACAGGTATTTCCTGCGTATAGAGTACATAATGCGTTATTCGTGCGTTAAATCTTCTGTTCCACGTTTGAAAAGAAATCGTTAATAACAATTAATGTGCTTTAAAAAACGTGAGAGTGTGATCGTGTGGTTATTACCGAGAGTAATACCTTGTAATAACATGTACCAAGTGTAATACCGTGTATTTACCGAATCGAGTGTAATACCGTGTATTTACCAGGTGTAAGGTGTGTTATTGGAGGATGTAATCGTGTGGTAATAATACCGTGTGTTTAGCGAACCGAGTGTAATACCGGGTATTTACCAGGTGTAAGGAGTGTTATTTGAGGTTGTAATCTTGTGGTAATAATACCGTGTGTTTACCGAACCGAGTGTAATACCGTGTATTTACCAGGTGTAAGGTGTGTTATTTGAGGTTGTAATCTTGTGGTAATAATACCGTGTATTTACCGAACCAAGTGTAATACCTATACCGACGGTAAATTGTAATGTGAAGGTGGGGTGATTGTGTGGTTATAATACCGTGTGTTAATTACCGGGTATAAACTGTAATGCGAGAGTGTGATTGTGTGGTTGAAATACCGTGTGTTAACCAAGTGTAAAATGTAATGTGAGGATGTGGTTGAAATACTGTGTGTTAACCGGGTGTAAACTGTGTAATGTGAGGGTGTGATTGTGTGGTTATAATACTATGTGTTAACCAAGCGTAAACTGTAACGTGGTTGTGTGATTGTAATACCGTGTGTAAATCGGGTGTAAACTGTAATGTGGTGGTGGTGTTGTTGTAATATTGTGTGTTAACCGAGTGTAATCTGTAATGTGAGGGTGTGATTATGTGGTTATAATACCGTGTGTTAACCGTGTGTAAACTGTAATGTGGTTGTGTTGTTGTAATATTGTGTGTTAACCGGGTGTAAACTGTAATGTGAAGGTGTGATTGTGTGGTTAAATACCGTGTGTAAACCAAGTGTAAGCTGTAATGTGGTTGTGTGGTTGTAATACCGTATGTTAACCAAGTGTAAACTGTAATGTGAGAGTGTGATTATGTGGTGGTAATACCGTATGTTAACCAAGTGTAAACTGTGTAATGTGAGGATGTGATTGTGTGGTGGTAATACTGTATGTTAACCAAGTGTAAACTGTAATGTGTAATGTGAGAGTGTGGTTGTGAGGTTGTAATAATGTATGTTAACCAAGTGTAAACTGTTATGTGTAATGTGAGGGTTTGATTGTGTAGTGGTAATACTGTTTGTTAACCAAGTGTAAACTGTAATGTGTAATGTGAGGGTGTGATTGTGTGGTTGTGTGGTTGTAATACCGTGTGTTAATCACATGTAAACTGTGTAATGTGAGGGTGTGATTGTGTGGCCACGAAAAATACCGTGTGTTTATCGTGCATGGATATCTTTACATCGACCGCATTGCTTTACATCAATATACGTTGCTGGTAACAAACTTTTTCTCTATTTGCAGCTGAACGTAAAACATCGTTGGGTAAGAACTGGCACCCGTCATGTTTGAAATGTGAAGAGTGTGGCAAAATCCTGGCGCCTGGTGCACATGCCGAGGTAAGTTCGTCATTTTTATAAAGGTCAACCCTGACCCAGCATAAAGACGTGTACAATATATAGGTACACCGTCTCAATTGATCTAATCTGACCACAGGAGTATGACGTTGCATCTATGCTTATAGACATGATAATGTCATTATATGGAATATATACCGCCTTACTACATATATTGTACTTCGAGGAATAAATATAGTAGAAAGTTAAGAGACTATGTATTGATACGACGTCCACTATTTCGCCATACCTCCCTGTGAACACACGGCCGCATCAGTACGTAATCCGTGGTGTATATTCGGCAAAAAAAGATAATTAAATATTCATTCATAAATGTGTGTAGTATAACAGTTAACCATCCCTGTTGACAGAACTTAACATGTCCGATCTCGATATGATTAGCTAGATACGTAGACGTCAATAACCTGGAGTTGTGCACCTACGGTTTAAAAACAGTTTCAGAGTGTTTGTTCCTTTGACCTTTTTCGTATATACGTTGAGACCTTGAAAACGCTTAAACCCTAGTTAAACGATTCACTTGTGTCATTATTGTTGTAAAATACCAAAATTTTACAGTAAAGTAATTAAACGACTTAAATACGTTGACGTTTGGCCAGTTAAAATGGCACAGGATGTGTTCCTGGCTGAAGTAGTGCCGTTCCAAAATGGAAATGGGTTGCTCTGAAGTAATAGTCTGAAACAACGTCTACCGATATATAGATGACTAGAGGTATGGATGCGTATAATGTGTCTGTCTGTACATGATGTCCATCTGTGCACGATGTCCGCCTGTGCACGTTTTCCGTCTGTACACGATGTCCGTCTGTACACGGTTTCCGTCTGTACCCGTTTCCGTTTGTGCACGATGTCCGTCTGCACAAGATGTCCATCTGTACAAGATGTCCGCCTGTACACGATGTCCGTCTGTACACGATGTCTGTCTGTACACGATGTCCGTCTGTACACGATGTCCGTTTGTACCCGTTTCCGTTTGTGCACGATGTCCGTCTGCACAAGATGTCCATCTGTACAAGATGTCCGCCTGTACACGATGTCCGTCTGTACACGATGTCCGTTTGTACATGATTCCCATATGCACATGATGACCATCTGTACACGATGTCCGCCTGTGCACGTTTTCCGTCTAAACACGATGTCCAACTGTGCACGTTTTCCGTCTAAACACGATGTCCGTCTGTACACGATGTTCGTCTGTGCACGATGTCCGTCTGTACACGATTCCTATCTGTACACGATGTCCGTCTTTACACGATTTCCGGTTTCCGTCCGTCTGTACCCGTGTCCGTTTGTACACGATGTCCATCTGAACAAGATGTCCATCTGTAATGACCAAGTGAGTTGAAAATTACCAACGTAAATAAGAGACAACAGTCAACAGATATAAGACAAGCGCTTAACGATTTGGACTTATTCAGTTTAAATCAGCCCTGCGATTTATCGTCCACGTGTGTGACTTAGGCAGCGTTAAATATATCTCGATCTACATCTTCTGTGGAAGTTTATTTCCGTCACTAAAACGCTTGTTTATCTAAGATCCACAATGAACTTGCTGCCGTTTTAAAACCAATTAAGTTCTGGTACTATTTATAAATCAACAATAAATATGGTACTATCTATATATAGCCAACACACATGGTGGTGCTTTACCTATAATAAGTATACATCTACTTTAGTTAAATTGACTGCAAAGCATCCTCCCTGTTGTCCTGACTAGGCTGTCCAGGGAGTTAGTTAGCAATGTTCATAACTTTCGCGGAAAAGAGAGGCATGTAATTATAAATGATAGGTGTTCCAAGAAATAGACCAAAGTATAGTATAGACGGTCGGTGTTCCAGGAGTGTCACGGAAGTATAAATGTCGATGAAATTTACATTTTGTGGAAACAAAAACAATTCCAGATGTTGTAATATATTGATGCAGTACATCAATTTTGGATACATCGAGGTTCCAAAACCAGAGCAAGCAACCCCTGAATCTGCAGTGATCCCCAAATTAGTCATCTCTTACTATCATGCAGTTCAATACATCAGGCCGAACATAAAAAAAGAAACGATAAGATTCAACTCACGGATGATGCTTGCGAGTTTTATCGACAATGAGCATCATCTCGCGCGTGGCACCCGTGCCTCGGGTCACATTTCACGCGTCTATTCATATTCCGTGTTTCAATCTCCCCTGCAGTGACAGCAATGGCGAATAATTTGGCGTCACCGATGTCAGCTTGGAGATTTTATAGAGATTACGATTTTTCCATAAACTATTTTTTCCCCATCGGTTGTCGTTGGTGAACCTAGCAGATTCCAGTGCTGCTAAATATTGATTCACTAGCTGATGCGCTGTGTTAGTGTATTGAGATTAACACTAACATCAATGGGGCCAGAAAACATGTCATTACGAACGACAGCTGATTGTCTTCCGTACGGTATTTAATCGGATAATGAATCTCGTTTGATGAAATTTTGGTTTTATTCAACCTGTGGTAGGTGGCAATGATCTTCAACAGTTATAGCATACAATAAAATTTAATGATTCCAGGAAACGCTTTGCCTTCTCTAAACTATAGATTTATTTATTTTAGGATTAAAGAATTTCCAAAAGTACTCATTTAAAAGGTATTGTTTTGAAAAATGCACGCACTTGTTTAAACATTCCCTGTACATATGTATGCAGATGGGCGTATTTTTTGTATGAGAATGCATATGATTATATATGAAATCGCATGTTATCGAAGCAGACAAGATCTGCAGAGACTCCTGAGGCTGACTTCACGGTGAATTAGGCGAATGTCACAACAGGGTCGGGTCTATCGACCAGCGGGCGTTATATAGGTGATGACTTTACTGATACAGCCACTGGACCCAACAATCAATACATGCTTCGAATTCACTCACAAACGTAGCCCAGCCATGGTGTGGCGGTGCCAACTACCCACCTGTCATAGGGTGTCGCAAAGGCGGGCATCACCTCCTGCTGTAATACTGCGCCCTGTCATGTTTGGGCCCTAGCTTCGTATTCCTAACATGTTTGGGTCCTATCATTGTATTCCCGTCATGTTTGGGCACTACCGTTGTATTCCCGTCATATTTGGGTACCTGGAGGGATACGATGGTAGGGGGCATCGTATCCCCGTAATGTTTGGGTCCTATCATTGTATCCCCGTCATGTTTGGTTCCTACCATTGTATTCCCGTCATGTTTGGGTCCCTACCATTGAATTCCCGTCATTTTTTGGTCCCTATCATCGTATCCCCGTAATGTTTGGGTCCTATCATTGTATCCCCGTCATGTTTGGGTCCTACCATTGTATTCCCGTCATGTTTGGGTCCCTACCATTGTATTCCCGTCATTTTTTGGTCCCTATCATCGTATCCCCGTAATGTTTGGGTCCTATCATTGTATCCCCGTCATGTTTGGTTCCTACCATTGTATTCCCGTCATGTTTGGGTCCCTATCATCGTATCCCCGTCATGTTTGGGTCCTACCATTGTATTCCCGTCGTGTTTGGGTCCCTACCATTGTATTCCCGTCATTTTTTGGTCCCTATCATCGTATCCCCGTAATGTTTGGGTCCTATCATTGTATCCCCGTCATGTTTGGGTCCTCCCATTGTATTCCCGTCATGTTTGGGTCCCTACCATTGTATTCCCGTCATGTTTGGGCTCTACCGTTGTATTCCCGTCATATTTGGGTACCTGGAGGGATACGATGGTAGGGACCATCGTATCCCCGTAATGTTTGGGTCCTATCATTGTATCCCCGTCATGTTTGGGTCCTATCATTGTATCCCCGTCAGGTTTGGGTCCCTAACATTGTATTCCCGTCATGTTTGGGTCCTTATCATTGTATCCCCGTCATGTTTGGGTCCTACCATTGTATCCCCGTCATGTTTGGGTCCTACCATTGTATCCCCGTCATATTTAGGCACTACCGTTGAATTCCCGTCATGTTTAGGCACTATCATCGTATTCCCGTCATGTTTGGGCACTACCGTTGTATTCCCGTCATATTTGGGTCCCTACTATTGTATCCCCGTCATGTTCGGGTCCTAACATTGTATCCCCGTCAGGTTTGGGTCCCTAACCTTGTATTCCCGTCATGTTTGGGTCCCTATCATTGTATCCCCGTCATGTTTGGGTCCTACCATTGTATTCCCGTCATGTTTGGGTCCCTATCATTGTATCCCCGTCATGTTTGGGCACTACCGTTGTATTCCCGTCATATTTGGGTACCTGGAGGGATACGATGGTAGGGGGCATCGTATCCCCGTAATGTTTGGGTCCTATCATTGTATCCTCGTCATGTTTGGGTCCTACCATTGTATCCCCGTCATGTTTAGGCACTACCGTTGTATTCCCGTCATGTTTAGGCACTATCATCGTATTCCCGTCATGTTTGGGCACTACCGTTGTATTCCCGTCATATTTGGGTCCCTACCATCGTATCCTCGTCATGTTTGGGCACTACCGTTGTATTCCCGTCATATTTGGGTACCTGGAGGGATACGATGGTAGGGCCCATCGTATCCCCGTAATGTTTGGGTCCTATCATTGTATCCCCGTCATGTTTGGTTCCTACCATTGTATTCCCGTCATGTTTGGGTCCCTACCATTGTATTCCCGTCATGTTTGGGCACTACCGTTGTATTCCCGTCATATTTGGGTCCCTACTATTGTATCCCCGTCATGTTTGGGTCCTAACATTGTATCCCCGTCAGGTTTGGGTCCCTAACATTGTATTCCCGTCATGTTTGGGTCCCTATCATTGTATCCCCGTCATGTTTGGGTCCTACCATTGTATTCCCGTCATGTTTGGGTCCCTACCATTGTATTCCCGTCATGTTTGGGTCCCTATCATTGTATCCCCGTCATGTTTGGGTCCTACCATCGTATTCCCGTCATGTTTGGGTCCCTAGCATTGTATTCCCGTCATGTTTGGGTCCCTATCATTGTATCCCCGTCATGTTTGGGTCCCTACCATCTTATT